AGAGGTTCAACCTTACTCTTTGGTGTAAAAGTAATTATCGGTTAGAAAATTTGTATCTAGGAATCAAATAGTCAATGAACATGAAAAATCCATCCTCATAGGGCATGTGTTCTTGGGCTTCTAACTCCTGATCTTTTGTTGCAGCTTTGATTCCTTTGAAGTATAAAGTGACTAATTATTGTTGGGATAATTAACTCTCTTCAACTCACTCAACGGTCGGCTATTGTTGAAAGTTAATTCCCTCGTTCATCACACACAGTGAAAACATCATCACATCACATTAACACAGACATATATGGAGATTATAGTCATACACATCCACACACAACACAATATTTTACATGGTTCACTCAACTCTAGGATTACGTCCATGGGAGAGCACTATTATGAATCAAGGAAGAGAATATACAACCACATGTCAAAACCACAAATACTCCCTTATCATTTCTTTTGAGGCTGCGTGTATACACTCGCAATTACACATACTCTCTCATCTCCTGATCACAACAGTCACCCTTAAACCACTTACATCTTTTCTCTTGGCTCTCTCTCTAAACCCCTCACACCCATCTCTATTTATAGAGTCTTCATCAAAACCCAATTCCTTGTTGGACAAGTACTCCTCAACTTGCCTACAATGAGTTACCATAATGATTACAACGGGATACAATTTCCTTCAAAAAATTTTAGTTTCCAAAACAAAAAAGGAAATTAATTTCTGCACGAAATTTTGAACCACAAACCCAACAGTTATGAATGATCTTTCACACACTCATGTTTATTCTTCCCAAATTATAAATGAATGAACATGTGGCCGGTGAGGATGACAATGAGATTTTTAGATAATGTAGGTTACTTTCAAATCACTTACAACCTTTTGATGCATTGAAGTGAAACCTAAATCTCTTAAAACTTTCAAATGCATTGAAGTGAGGCCTATAATAAACCTCACTTCAATGCATAAGAAGTTCTTGAGAGGTTTAACCCTACTTTTCAGTGCAAAAGTAATTATGGGTTAGAAAATTTGTCTTTAGGAATCAAATACAGACACGAAAAATTCGTCCTTCTTGGGCTCCTGACTCCTGATCTTTTGTTGCAGCTTTGATTCCTTTGAAGTATAAAGTGACTGATTATGAATGATCTTTCACACACACACATGTTTATTCTTCCCAAATTATAAATGAACGAACATGTGGTTAGGATGACAATGTGCTTTTTAGATAATGGAGGTTACTTTCATAGGGTGGGCTTTTGGATTGGCTAGCTTAATTTTGTGTAATTGCATGCGTTTAGGTTCTGTAAATACAATAACTAAAACAACATATATGGGATACAGTCCTGAGACTCACCTTATTTAAGGATGAGGAGCCACACTATCTCAGGATTCGCCTACACACTTTCAAAATTTGAGTTACGTTTGCGGTGAAAATTCAGTAAAATATATATGTGAAAAAAAGATATTATAAGTTTCAGCCTTCAAACTTTAACTCTCTCACTCTCTTTCTTGCGATATTTATAAATTGCAGTCTTCAAACCCTCGTTCTCGCTCTCACTCTCTTTCTTGTAATTTTCAACATTCTCTGGTTGTCCTACTCTAAACCCTATGCGGCCCTTATATACCAAGTTACAATAGATTACTAAACAGGTTCCAAGACCTTCAAGCAAGAGTAAAAATGAGTTAAAAAAATTCTTTTCGAGTCGAAATAGGATTATATTGCAATCCGGGATCAAAATTTGAGGCACAACATCACAGTTATCTACGTTGTTACTTTCTCTTCCTTACTGTCAAGAGACACGGTCACACTTCTTTTTTTTTTTTTTTGTTTTTGTCGGTAAGTAATCCTTGAAGACCTAACAAAATTAAGAAAAAAAAAAAATTAAGCCTACTTTAATGATCTTCGTAAATATTCTAGCACTCACTAATTATGCTGAGACATTGCTTCTTCATACATCAAAACTAAATATTTGATTGGGTGTCCCTTAATATATATAATATATAAGATGGGACACCTCTATTACAACTAATTAAAACAAGTTTGCCTTTCTGTTATTTCAACTTTATTTTTATGTACCCTTCACTCTTGTTGGATAACTTTAGGCTTCTATTTCTATTATTGGACTTCGTCTTAGTGACAGATTCACATTGCTTTCTTAAGATTGAAAGTTACCAAATAGTTAGGCAAAAAGTGATAAGCTCAAAGTATGGAAAAGAGTGGAGATAAAGATGAGTTATTCTGAGATAAAGAATGGAAAGTGGCCACCACAATGAACGTATGAGTGTGTTTGTGTGTGTGTGTGAGAGAGAGAGAGAGAGATGACATAACTATGCAGTCACCACCACACTTTCACACTTCATACATCTAACCCAAAATCAGTTCAAGTCCATTACGGCTCTTAAACACTCTTGGCCTTAGATAAGCCTTAAAGGCTCTAACTTTTTTCATTTTTAGTCACGCTTATCATGAAGGTTTATTAATAGCATATGTCATGTCTATAAAAACCATGCCCTGCTGTGTTTTGAATTATTACAAAAATGAAAGCATTGTACTATTGTTGATTGAAATCAACTAGTAGGATTTTTTTTTTCTTTCCTGGTGAGCCTAGTCTAGGTATGTGACTTATAATGGAGTCGGTTGTTGGAAACACATCACTGTATTAGTTCCAAATGTCATGCCATAATGTGATCCTTTCCATGGGACCCGGCCGGGGCCAGAATTTCTCACTACTTCCTACTAATTTAATCTGTCCGTGTTTCATTACACAGCAAGTCCCAAGTCCGGATAAATTTAGTTGGAGGGTTGCTTTTGATAATTTGACATTAACGTAAAACTTTGTCATGATCGATATGAACAAGAATTCTACAACTACAGTCAGTATAATGGTATCATAGAACGTTTTATTATATGTCGACACCATTATAGGCATTCTTATCCTAATGTATATGATAAACCCTAAAAGTGAGCTAGCAAGTGCTTTCAACAAAAATGAACAGATGGGACATATTTTTATGAATCTTTAAGAGCAAATGGTGGTAAGACATTGAGTGCAGCTGGTTTTGGAGTGAGCATGACTGAGGACAGAAGCATCTTCTTAGGTTGGTTTTTTACCTCTTTGTCCTGCAATCCACCAGTAGTTTTCTATAAAAGGCCCAGAGCAGGGCCTTATATGATGGAGATGATATGAGGTCATTGTCCTTGTTTCAACTTTCTAGTCTTTTTCTCATTATATCTCCACTATGGACTGCTGCAATACATGCTCATTGTATCAAAATTTAATCCATTAAAAGAGGGCACTCGTAGGTACAATCCAATTTCTGCAGCAGAAGAACCAATTTTCAATGCACATCATACACTGCATCCATGGGCTTAGATATCACTATTGTGGGAACCAATGTCAGTATTGTCAGTTATCGTAATCTTTTTAACAATAAACTTTCAGAGTAGACGGTGTTTTATGATTTTGACCTAGTGGAGATCGGAACGGGAAAGATTTCCGCCCAGTTTATAATGTGAAAATATTATTTTACTCTTGGATCTTAAAACAGATTGGGGTGGGAAAGTTAAACAGGTGTGGGGACAAATAAATGAGTCTTTTGATTTAAACCTGTCCTGTTGTTATCTCTACGTAAGAATACGTGTTTGAGAATTTAGGTTAAAGTTACACACTTTGAATCTAATAATCTTACTACGAAGGGGTGTAACCTAGCTGTACTTTCTTACATTTCAAAGTGAAATGGTAATGATTCAAATCTTCTCACAAATAAAAATTAAGGTAATTTAGTCAACAAATACATGAGTTTAACCTTTTGAAGGGAAAAATAATCTAAATATAATTTAGTCCACATGAGTTTAACCCTTTGAACGGAAAAAGAATCTAAATATAATTTAGTCCACATGAGTGTAACCCTTTGAATGGAAAAAGAATCTAAAAAAGATTTAGTCAACAAGGAAAGTGAGTTTAATTTAAATTTCATCTGTCATTTATTGAAAAAGGACCAAAAGTTTTTTACTCTATGAAATTACCGAGAAGTTGTTTTCATATTGATTTTGGATTCTAGGTCGTCGGTAAGTCCCACTTGATAAAATATTTATCGAGTGGTTCACACGAAAGAGAAAAATAATAATTTTAAAACCCATAATTTGCTTATAAAATATTTATCCTTTTTACCAGAAGTGTACATGATTGGGATCCTTGGGGACCCAAGAAATGGAATTCAGCACAACCTATGAAAAGTATATTTTTATTTTTATTTATTTATTTATTTATTATTATTATTATTTTCTTTTTGGAAAGTATGAAAAGATGTTTACCGAGTGTAATTGTCCACATTGTAACCATCAAAATAGAAAGTGTGTGCAAAGATCAGAATGAAGAGTGTGTGGAGTTCATCACTCCACACCTCTTTATCTCTTAATATTGACTGATAGAGTAGAATTTTATTTTTCTTATTTTTTTTGACTGGTATAAAAATATTATTATTGTTCATAGAGTAATGTCATAATTGTCAATATTGTCACAGTGACTACTGAGAAAATAAAGTGTGTTAAGTTCATCACTCCACACTTTTTATCTCTCAATTAGTGTCACAATATAATCAATTATAAACTTTTTCTTGTTCATAGATAACCTTCACATTTTACTTACTCACACACACACACATATATATATATGTGTCTATGTCACTAACCATTGATTATAATACAAGGGAGACGCATAAATAAGAAACAACAAACAAATTGAATAAAAGAATCCAATTATATACTTGGCACATTTAAAACTGTGACAATAATTGTTTATGCACTTATGCAGATCATAGAGTCCCACAATGGCTCATACACATCCATGACACGTGGACCGCAGCAGCTGGATGATATAAGCATGAAGTGTGATGATGACCCACATTATATCATATACTTATATATATATACACACACACAGAGTACGGACACACACACATATATAAATTGATCACCCCGTTGAGGGAGAGAGTTCCCTCCAACACTAACAGATCCCGTTACTTGGAAGTATCCAACGTTCCGTTACCCGCCGCCATGAAGCCACCCACTAACCACACTACTAAACATCAAAAAAGCCTCCAACTTCACAGTACTCGTGAATTGTGATCAAAATACAACTTCAATCCCACGTCACAGTCTCTCTCTCTCTCTCTCTCTCTCTCACTATAAATATCATCCCACAAACCACACTTACAACAACACAACTCCCAACCCACCATTCTTCTTCTTCTTCATCACTATTCTCCCAGCTGCTTCATGGGTGACAACAATGTCCACCTCCCACCTGGTTTCCGGTTTTATCCGACCGATGAAGAACTTGTCGTCCATTTTCTTCATCGAAAAGCTGCCCTTTTACCTTGCCATCCTGATGTCATCCCTGATCTTGATCTCTATCCTTATGATCCTTGGGAATTAGATGGTAAGTCCAACTATTTATATACATACATATGTATGTATACGTTCGATTCAATACGAGTATCAATTATAAATACTCCATCTGTTCCGAAACAAATGTCATGTTTGTGAGTTACGGTTTCAAACGTGACACTTATTTTGAGACAGATGAAGTAATTATCTAAATATTAGTAAGTATGAATATAAATAATGAGGACTGATAGTAGTAGTTTTCGCACCATATCGATTTGATGTTCGCCACCATATTTGAAAAAAAAAAAAAAAAAAAAAAAAAAAAAAAAAACCGAAAACATGTTGACTTCTATGTATTTTAAAAGTTTAAACTGTTAACTTAGTTGTAGTTGTATTTGGTGTAGGTAAAGCTCTGGCGGAGGGGAACAAGTGGTACTTCTTTAGCCGGAGGACGCAGAACCGGATTACAGATAACGGGTACTGGAAGGCTTTGGGTGGTGATGAACCAGTTATTACTGGTTCTAGTAAAATAGTTGGTGTGAAGAAATATTATGTGTTCTACTTGGGAGAACCTCCTGTTGGGGTCAAAACTAATTGGATAATGCAGGAGTATAGGCTTTCAGATTCTGGTTCTAGTAGTAGGGCATCGAAGAAAAGAGGACATCCAAAAATAGTAAGAACTATATATATGTGGATGTGACTATATATGTCAACAATTAATACTGCTTATCTATATATATATATATATATATATATAATGTATATATATAAATAATGTATGTTGGCCATATTAATTTGATTGTTTTTTCTTTACATTTTTTTTTCTTCAGGATTATAGTAAATGGGTAGTTTGTCTAGTGTACGAGCGAGACGACGATGATGACAATAACGACGGAAGTGAACTCTCATGTTTGGACGAAGTTTTCTTATCATTGGATGATCTTGATGAAATTAGTTTCCCCGATTAAAATGAAATCAAGTGACATATACATATATATATGTGTGTGTGTGTGTGCGCGCTCGCGCGCGCGCGTGTAAGATCAAAGTGGGCTGCAGTCACAAAGTTCTAAGATTCATGGGTAGGGTTGCACCTATTCTTCTTCTTCTTCTTGTTGTTACCAAAATGTTGGTAGCAAAGTTGTATTAAAACTTTTAAATGGGCATGCATTTTATGTTTTTCGGATCTTGAATTATCAATGGTCAAAATGCAATTCTAGTGCAGTTAAACCCAGATATTGACACGTGTAATAAGAAAAAAAAAAAAAAAATTCCCAACCACGGGAAAAGATTGAATTGGAGATAACAACAGAGTAATATCTATTGGTTTGCTGTGGAATTGTCTCTCTCAACACATGTCAACAGTTGGACAATAATGTGTGATTTTATTTTATTCAATTTTTTATTCCAAGTTTCGTGAAAACTGTGTGTACTTGAAGGAAGTGCGATGCTCACGTGCAGAGATTATAATATTTTTTAGAGAGAGAAAGTTAGAGAGAGAGAGGGGGTGTGGGGCCCAGTGAGCACTTTAAGTTTTGTTTGGCTGTGGGGGATAGAGAGGGTTTCCTTCCTTCTGCTGCTACTAGTAGTGATCGGGTAGCCTTTTTAGCTTTCCTTTTTATACTTGCTTTAAGCCTGTAATGGGCATTTGGTAGTTTGTCTTTGTGCTGTGTTTACAGAGCTAAGGAACAATTTTTTTTTTTTGGGTGGCTGCTTAGAGAAGCATTGGGTCATGGTGATGGAAGCATTCACACGCTTGATTTCTACCACACGTGTGCATTTTATCTTCTACGGTTGTTAGGGCCCATATCATATATGTGTATGTGGTCACAGCATTACTACTACTTGTAAAGTTGTCAGGCGTCATGCTAAAAATCTAGGTCAATTTTATTGGAATCAAGACGGGTGGACTAGATATAAATCTGAATCTTCGAAATCTTGGACTTTAAACTCATGATCATATATATATATATCTTGTGATCATAATATTTGAGACAGAGTTGTCTCTGCTAGACTTTTTGGAATCAAAATTCATGAAGGGTTATTTAAGTTGTTGCAAGATAAAAAGGTTTTGTTGAACCGATTTTTACGAAAGTAATATTATGTGTATTTAACATTTTTGTAATATGCATGTAGTTCATATAATTTTCTATAAGTTTTAAAAATTCTTTAACGTTTATTATAAAGGCAAATAAAGGATCTCCTGTCAATGGACTGGGCTAATAAAAATACTAGGATAAATCAAGTACAGCTACACTGCTTGAGGTTTGACAAAAGGATACTAAGAGGAAACTTACATGTTTTTTAAACAAAGACACCCTCTAAATGTTCAAAAATGGACAAAGATACCCATTTACATGAAAAATTGACCAAATTACCCTTTGACAGTTTATGAGACTTTTTTAACTTTACAATTTAATAAATTGGACCAATCTATCCTCATGAATAATTTATACATAAAAAAAAAGTAAAAAAAAACTTTATATTGTTCACTTTTTTATTTTTTATTTTTTGTTATTTACTTTATAAATGTCCTAACTTCTTAAAACTGTAGACATCTAAAATGATTTTTTGATTCAATACATATATTTCAAATAAATTATATTTTATTATTACTTTTTTTCTTTTTCTTTTTTATTTTTAAATTAAGATGTTTAATTCTTTCATCTAAAAAAATCAAACTAATCTTTTTTCCTTAAAAATAAAAAATATGGTACCAGTATAACTTTATGCATCTTAAATTATATATCAAATATTATGCATTTCCCAATATAAAAGAAAATAGGTATCAGTATAACTTTATGCATCTTAACTTTATGCATGCCTTTGTTTTTTTTTTTTTTTTTCCTTTGTTTTATTATTTTTTTCCCTTTTATGTTGGGAAATGCATAATATTTGATATATAATTTAAGATGCATAAAGTTATACTGGTACCATATTTTTTATTTTTAAGGAAAAGAGATTGGTTACATTTTTTTAGATGAAAAAATTAAGCATCTTAATTTAAAAATAAAAAAGAAAAAGAAAAGAAGTAATAACAAAATATAATTTTTTTGAAATATATGTATTGGATCAAAAAATCATTTTAGACGTCTACATTTTTAAAAAGTTGGGACATTTATAAAGTAAATGACCAAAAAAAAAAAAAAAAAAAGGTGAACAATATAATTTTTTTTCTTTCTTTAGTTACTTTTTTTTTTTTTTTTTTTATGCATAAATTGTTCATGAGGGTAGATTGGTCTAATTTATTAAATTGTAAAGTTAAAAAAGTCTCCTAAATGATCAAAGGGTAATTTGGTCAATTTCTCATATAAAGGGGGTGTTTTTGTTCATTTTTGAACATTCAGGGGGTGCCTTTGTTCAAAATAAAGGAAAGTTTCATCTGAGTGTCCTTTTACCAAACCTTAGGGGGTGTGACCGTACTTACCCAAAATACTAAAATGTCCTTATTAGAATTAAAATAAAAAAATAAAAATTCAGTTAATGTAAAATTATTATTATATCTTTTATTTTTGAGATTTATATGTAAAAGGGAAGGGTGTTTTGGGAATCAATAAAAGGTAATTTTGATATTTATTAAATTTAATCAATAATTTGTTAGGCACATGTTTTTTTAAGGAAACAACCCAAAAGTCCTTCTTTATAACATTTTTAAATTCTTGGGAGAGTTATATACCTAAGTAAAAGAGGGGCATTATTTGTTCAAAAAGTAAACCTTAAGAATGTGTTAGATACTTAGCCATATATATATATATACACATATATTTACACATCTTATGATCGATCATAATATTTGAGACTGTCTCTGCTAGACTTTTCGGAATTAAAATTCATATGTGTAAATCATTGCAAATTATTGGAATAAGGTTTTGTTGAACCGAGTTTTACTAAGAGTAATATAATAAGTGTATTTTGTTTCAACTTTTTAAAAAAGAAATTTTTATTGAAAATCTTAATTATTTGACAGGAAAAATAAATAAATAAATAAATAAAAGGTAAAATTATTGGATAAATAAAGACTATTCGGTGCTCATGTCAAAAAACATAATAGAGGACATGCTTTGCAATGGATTAAATAATGTTAGTGGAGAAGAGCCAAGTTCTGCACTCAAATTAAGGAGCACCATTCTCATTCCTAAACTTTCTTATCATCCAAGTTAACTGCCACGTGTTAGTCTTTCAAGAATAAAATTATAGAAAATATTTGAATAAGATCTTCTGATCTTAATCTAAGTCGCATAATTTTTAGCGATGGGTGTCGCTCTTACGCTCTGCACGAACTTCTGCTTTCACGTTACACGTGCGCATTTACTTTTCCATTTCTATTCTGTGTGACTTAGATTTTGCCGTTTTTGCTCTCAAATTTATTCTCAGCTCCTATTTTTATTCTTACTTTATATGACTTAAATACTGACGTACCACTCACATGGTTATAAAAGATGGTTCAATCGAATGTTTCATGACTTGCACTTCATGAGACCAGCCGGCACGAACCCAATGTGGGACCACCAGTAGGGGCACCTACCCCATTGGATTTTTATATTTTTATCTTATATTTTAATTTTTTTGAATTTATAAAAATACCCCCACTAAAATTACAATTTGTTCATACTGAATTCCTTTATTTTTTTTTTATTTTTTTTTTTGCATTTTATACTTTAAATTTTTAAGAATTTATGAAAATTCCCCCACTAAAATTACAATTCGGCCACATTGATTTATTTATTTTTGCATTTTATATTTTGCATTAAAAAAAAAAAAAAAAAAAACCTCTTCTAACACAGTGAACTTGCTACACGGAGTTGTAAGGTAAACCTAGATGGCTCGATACCTGCCATCATTCCCGTACTAGGAAAATCATTTAAACCCAAGTGGTATCTTTTGTAATTGTTTAGTCCCTTAATGGTGTAAATTTACTAAGCCTTTTGTGATTTTTTTTGCAAGAGTAATGCTCATAAGAAGAAGAGACACAAACTCCCCCTATTTAATTATTAAATTGGAACAGTTTTTTGAGATCCATTTCTTCAATCTCGCGTAGTGGTACGCTATCTAGTACCTTTTTCAATCCATTTCTGGATTTCTTTGTCCAAATATAGGGAAAATTTACAACTTTTAAAATCAAAATTGTGTGTCAATATACCGAATTTGTTTATTATGTTTGTGAATATTGAATAAATTTTAAATTTAAAAAAATTTAGTTTAATTAAACTATTTTATACTCTCAAATGTAACATTAAAATGAAAAATTTTATTTTATTTTATTTAGAGAAAATGATGAATAAGGAGGTTATCTTTCTGCGCAAAGTCAACTAAATAGTTAAGAAATGGTACAAAGTATAAAACAAAGATATAAAGAGGCAAACTTCTACTTTGTCTTATCTAACCCTTCAATCAATAAAATAAAAAATGTATATGTCTCTCTCTCCATACGTGTTACTATTTAAGTGTAGTTTCATGAAAACCCCATGATTCCAACCACCAGTGAATCAAATTCCATGTAGTTAATATATAACAAATTTAATTTCATTGCTTAATTAGGTCGTAAGCACTGAACACTCTAATCATCCCACCCATACTGTCTGCAAATACAAACAAACACCGCATGCACGAGAGAGAAATATATATATATATATATACAGGGTATGTGCATATGTGTAAGTAGGTGCACACTTCGAGCAACTTAATTGCAACCAAAGGCAACCCCCCATATATAATTCTTGTTGTATTTTGCTTTGAACTTTGCCATTATGATTGCACAAGACATGTCCCCTCTTAGGCCAATCTCAACTACTTGTTCATAAAGCTTTTACTTCTTTGATGAAGACACCACTGTGTCTGTGTGTGTGAGGGAGAGGGAGGGAGAGAGAGAGATCAACCGTTGCAAATCTTTTTACTTGCTTATCTAGGGATGGTGATTTATATATATAAATATATATATATTGGCAAGAATGATTGTGTGGGCAACATGTAGCTTTTGAGTGAAGCTAATAATTTATATATACTAATCCATGAATCTCCAAAAAAACAAAGGTCAAAGAAAAGCCACAATGTGAGTCAAAAACCACCTGTGGGATTAAAAGTACCAAGGAATGGAGTAGAGATGAAATGGTCTTCATGAGAGCTTTTGCCCAAGTGGGAGATACCCACTTGTAGCACAAATTGACAAAGTTAATTGTTGGGTCCCTTTTTATTATTATTATTTTTATTTCTTTTTGGAAAAATGGTTGGACATTTGAGTTATGGTAATGAATTTGGTGCAACAATGCATTATGAGGAAGTTGAAAAACCATTTTTAAGGTTACTAAATATATCTTTAATACAACCAACCATTACTCAACAAAGTTTCTTCAGCTAACTATCCAGACATATATTTATATATATATATTTCCACATTTCATTTTCTGAATTGCCCTTTTCAGCTTAAAGATGAAAAGGCTGTTCTTGGTACCAGCTACTAAGAACCTTGGAGTAGGTAGTACCTGTATGTGAATTTTTATGCCTTAAGCAACTAGGCCTACCTGGTCAGCCAACACATCATATACCTTCCAAAATATATTGTCTTGCTGTGGCCAATGGGGGAGGAAAATGATTTGAGTCTGACAATCGGACTAATCCGACTATCCTATGTGAGTTCTATGTGAACGGGAATCACGTCATTCCCTACTCCATAAAACAATCAGATTAGTCCGACTATCGGACGTTGTATCACGATTCTTACAAGAAAAGTATAAAACCAAGACATAGTCCTAAGTGGCACGCATTGAGACAACCTCTATGCTCTCCCTTAATTCAAGGAACATGAAACAAATTTGTACACAAGTAGAATCAGGGTTTCAAGATATGCCTATTTTCTCAAATTAAAAAGGTCAAAACAAATAGACTTTCATTAGTATCTTAATATGAAGTTCCAAGTTCAATGTCAAGCTAATAGGAAGTTCACTGCACTTCAAAAAAATTTAAATAACTTGTCATCATTCACCCCTAAACCAGATGATCAATGGCCCAGAAGTAGCTTCCCACAATTAGAAATGAGGAAATTCCACTACGAGCCATCCGCAACGAAAGCCCACGGAACAAAAGATTCCTGTCCGAAGGGTGAATGCCGGTAAGTCTCTCAAACCTCTTCCCTGGTAGATTCCATTTCAGAAGCCTCCTCTCCATGGATATGTACTGCATTAAACAAAATACAAGGCATAACTACAACAGTCTGCATATGTGCCAATTTGCTAGTGACTCTAATAATCAGTAACACTATTTCGTTTATAAGGATAACAGAAAAGGAGACAGAAAAGATGGCAATTATATGCTCCATTTGTTTCGAGGTAAAATGTTTTCCTGAATGCAATTTACCAGTATCTGGTATATTTGCCTGTTTGGTAACCTTCCAAAATTGGTAGAGCATTTTTTAAGTAAAATATTATGATGCAATGTACATTAAGTTATTTTCCAAAATGATGGTTGTTACAATTAATTTGCAGTGAATGAGTTATTACTGTCACTTTGACAGACAAATAAGCAAATGGAGAACTTATCTAACACAGTGTTGAGCAACGTAGTCTATTTTTGGAAGACCCATGGCACTCCATTTGGACCCAAAGCAATCCCCATAAAATGAGTTCTCATTTTAACCAAATTCCAGAAAGTAAGAGAGAAAAAAATGTTTTTCATGTAAATGGTCTTACATAAAAATGTTTTACAACAAAAGTATTTTACATCGAAGAAATGGAGCATTAATGTAATGTGGAATAAAATGAACCAAAGCATGCTCAACCAGCGAACTCTGTATATTCCCTTCTCAAACTGTGATAAAATTAAATTTAAGCCTTTTTAAGTCATATGAACAATTGTATATTGTTACATGAAAAATTATATCAGAATCTATTTTTCAATCAAGGGAATCTATTGTCTTTGATATGGTATATTTTTTCCTTTTTTTTTCCCCCATAAATATCATTTATCAAATGTCATCATTGCACAAATGGACCCTTTTCATGAGTCATGACATTATAATTCATAACTTAGCATCTTGGAGGAAATAGGACCTTGACTGCATCAAAGAAATAGGATCTCAACACCACATAAATGATGCTGGACTAGAGAGAGATTTTTCCAGCAGATACTAAAGTAGTTCACTCAAACCAGAGATCACTGAAGTAATCAACTGCACACCAGAAACATGCTCTGAATTACTATATACTTCCAAAAAAGAATCAATCTTATGGAATGAGCAAATTTTAGCTGAATTTTTAAATCCAAAGCTCATAAACAACATTTTAAGATCGGTATAGCTCGTGTTGTCCAGTATGAGAACATAAAATCGAGTCTGAAGACAGTTATTGAAGGCAAATAATGCAAAGGTTAGGGATGTATCTAATCTTCTCCATCCGACAGCATATATTAAGGGGACCACACTAGGTAATGCAGTCTCGAGTAGGCAATAGAGAAAAATTTAATTATGTCATAAAGTTAGACTTATATAAGGCAAGATTTAATGTAACGATTAACGTAATTATCATTGGATTATACTTTTAGTAAGCACAATCTCTAAAACTAAACCGATCCAAACCCTTCTTGCACGATTCTGTTCCAATTTTTTCGGAACCATTAGGATCAGTGTGGTTTGGTTTTGCTTTACCCACTATACTGAAAAGGACCACATGCACCCTTAATGGCCTATTCTAGTACGATTCTAAGGGTACAAAATAATTTCACTTATGAAGTGACAATCCTAAAGTTGAAGTTTCAAAATGTAATGAATGATATTTTGCCACAAGGGAGTCTCCAGAAATCAGTAAAAGGTAAATTCCGACCAAGTGTTACGGGAGTAAAGCAATCCTCAATGAAGAGGATGATAAAACTCATCATAAGAATCAGTAGAGATCAAGGAGGAAATAATTTGCATATATTCTCCAACATAATAGTCAGCACAGAGAACAGTCATTCAACTACAAAAGGATCAGCATTATTCTGCCAAAAGGGCACTATGAGGTGTAATCAAGATCTCTATAAATAAAGATTGCAATCCATAACTAACAGAAGATTTTAACTGCATTTCATTTTTAAATAAGTAGCATACCTTGGGCAGCACAATACATTGTGATCGACCTCTGGCAGTGTCAAAACAATGAGAAGCAGCAGCAGCTATTGAGCCAGAAAATCCAGCTGCAAGACTAACAGCTAAAGGAGGCAGTGGACCTATTTCTTCATCAGACCTGAATATGAACAATCACATTTTAAACAACAAAACAAAAATGAAAGGACGAAGTAGGGAGTAAAAAAGGGTAGTAATTACACATGCCAACAATTATTAAACTTAATTCATCCAAGCACAAAAATAAAAAATAAAATAAACCAATACAGAGTCTGAAACTTTAATTCTAACAAAAGAGACTAAGAGAGCGACATTTATTTAATCTACAAATCATTAATAGCTTGGAGTCATTGGATTCCACATCTATGGTACCTACCCAAGATTCACCGTCAAAAGAGTAGTCAAACAAAATAAACTGATGGAATTTTAAGAAAACGAGAATTGAAGATAAAACCTGGGTATAGGATCCATTCCAACTGCCTTCCAATCAAGCATCACTCCGTGCAGGAATTGCCAACTTGAAAAGAATATGCCGCCAAAAATGCAATCTCGAACTACTCCTGACCTGAGACCTCTCCATAAGGCACCCCATCCTTCCAAAGAGATGATGTCTGACAGCCTTCTGACATCGCACACAGATGGAGCCCTCCCAGACCCAGTCATCATCCACGGGTACTCTTTTAGGGCACCAATCAGATTGGAAGTTTTGGTGGTCAAGGTGGACAAAAGGCCAACAGAATGGTTCAATGCCCTCGTGTCTGGAGAATACCCGTGCAGTAATCTCTCAATCAAAGGTGAAACAACACTCTTTTCTACAACATGGGTAGACTTCGGAAAACGAGAAGCAGAAGTAACCTGTGCACGAAGTTTAATAAGTTCAAATGGAGAGCTTACAAATGATTCCACGGCACCAGCAGCAATTCCTGCCATAAGAGCCTCAGAGACATATATATAATTGTCTTCACGACCATCTGCAAAACAAAAGAAAGAAAAAGCATGTGTTAGTACACATAAGGTGTTGAAAGCTTCAATGGTGTTCAGCAAGAGTATAATCCACTAATCCAAATTTATATAGTAATCCATTCATGCAATTATATCATCTCTCTCTCTCTCTCTCTCTCTCTCTCACACACACACACACACTCAGGCACGGAGCCAAATGAGGCCCAGTGGGGGCGGCCACCCCACTGGCATTTTATTTATTTATGTTATTTCTTGAGAGTTTGTCAAAATTCTAATAGTTCCCCCACTAATCTTTAACATTTTCTCTCTAAAATCTATTTCACTCTTTATATATCACATTGATTGTACATAAGGTTTTGAAAACAGAGATGAAGAATTTCATCTCTCTTTTCTTGTTCTTATCTCTAGGAGAGAGAAGAACTCAATTTGCATGCCTTAAAATGCAGGATTGCTATTAATCCACATAGAGAAGCTGATTGGAGAACTCAATTTGTTTCCTAAGGAATCAATCACCATCATCAGTCACGACGACTCTGCTCTAACCAAAATTTTGTAGTCAAGTTGAGTTTAAATCTAACTTATTATTGAAAAGCTAAGATTAGTTAACCCATATTCTTTTGAATTTGCAGTGTTGTAAAATTGTCCTATATTTGTAAAGAGGGAGCACTGTGCTTTTCGAAAAAGGTCAATGAAGTTTTATCATAGCTATAGAAACGTAAATATATGTGCATTTATATATACATAAATGTACATGGAGGAGGAGAAATTATTAGATGGTTTGGGACCATGCGGTCCTGGCCAAGCACAAGTTGCCATGTAACCAAATGTGTAAGCTTTATTGAGCTTTTTGGTTATGTGACAGTTTGTGAGTGGCCGGAACCGCATGGTCCTGAACCATCTAATAATTTCTCCATGGAGGAGATTAGGGCTTGAAGCTTGTTTACCTCAATAAAATTGTTTATTGTTTCTCTAATTTACTAAATTTGTATTGATATGCGCGGAGCTTATTGAGTATGGGTTGACCACAATTTTTCTAAGATTGTCTTCAATTATCATCTTGGTCTAACAAAAAAATCTAAGTGCTTGCTGAAAAATAATTTGAAATGGAAGTATGAGTATTTCTTCTTGGGTATGGGTTGACCACAATTTTCCTAAGATCGTCTTCAATTATCATCTTGGTCTAACAAAAAAATCTAAGTACTTACTGAAAAATAATTTGAAATGGAAGTTTTGAGTATTTTTAAATGAAAATATCTGCAAAGTTAAAATTCTTTTTTTTATTACGTAGTTTGATTTTTTTTTTTTAATTATCTTATTACTGTTCAAGGTCACCCACTCTCAAATAAATTCCTGGCCCCGACACTGCACACGCGCACACAAAACATGCAGATGGAGGTCTGAGGATCCAATAACTAAGATAATGTCTCACCTCCAGTCTTCAAGGAAAAGTTGTCTAACTTGTGCTTGAATCTTGATCCAATCGTTTTGCTTTTGACCAAAAGAACTTGCACTCTCTTTCACACAAGTTGATCTCCTAAGTAGCATAATATATACATCTGTCATTTCTTTAACCCTCCTAGAACATTTCTAATTTGCTAGTTGTCTAACCTGCTGCCTTTTGCTTTTGTGTTTTTGAAATGCTCATAGGTGAAGCAAATCAAACCTATTTTCAGACAGTGAAGATAAAAAAATATACATAGTGGCTGGGAAAGCTTTGGAGATCCTATGGAAAATTGAAAACATCGAAGGGTGTTCCTGAATTTCTTCTTTTTTTCCCCAATTGGTGGATCTCTTGTTTGTTTCAAAAGTTAAGAGTGTTCAAGCTTGGAGCAATCCTAGAATTTCTTGTTCAAGTACTTGGCATTGGCTGCTTGTGATATCCACAAGATTGGTTCGGCATGGCATGCTCGTTGTTTCAAATTTTGGAAAATTTAAAGCAACAAAAAAAAGGATTACAATGACAAGTCAAGAGGTGATATCACTTGCAAGTTGCAATAAGGAGAAGCAATTTGAACTTGCTTAATACTACTTCAGACTCTATTTATAATTTATCTTGATATAATTAAAATGCATGGTCATGGAAACAAATTTCTCACGATATAATAGATAAAGGAAACTACAATTTTCCACCTATACATATGTTCATGGAGCCTTGTCAAACCGAGCTCACACATGTTCTGACTCAATTTGTTTAGCACAAGAGTTTCTAAACAAAGTTCCAGCTTGGTTCGTCAACTAATTAAATGAGCTCAAAGAAGCTCATTAGCTGAACTTTTGATTTGTTCACAAACCAGAATTTTTGGAAATGATTGATATATTGGTTTCGAAGGCCAAATTGACCATACACATGGAGCCTAAAATGGATATGGGAGAGGAATTCATGGAGGGAATTGATTTCGATTGGTGATCGTGGGTCAAGATGTTTGCTGACGTTTATGGAGGTTGATATGGTTTGGCAAGAGAGAGTATGAGATGAGATTAGAGGTGGCATCAGTGATGTAGGCAATGAACACCATGGGTTCTGATGGGTGTTTGATACTTTGATGGAGATGGTGGTGATTTTTGCAGTCGAGTTCAAATGGGGGTGGCTGTCACTAGAGATTAATCTGGTTTGGTCCGCCCGGGGGGGGGTGGGGTGGTCGGTGGTGTTGAATTAGAGAGACAAATGGAAAGGGAGAAATAGACAAGCAAGAATACGAAGAATATTACATGGTTATTTATTTTAAGTCAAATGGAGATCTACAATACTTTAATAAGGGAAAAATTAATTATATTTTAACAAGGAAAAAGGGCATTTAGAAAGATTCAAAAGATGAGACGAGGTTTAACTTATCGCCTTAGATAGAACAGAATGATGAACCCATGTAGGATGGTTTCCTATTTATTTTTCAAATAAATTTGAAGAATAACTATGATTCCATTTTATTTATGATTTTTTCTCTTCTCAAAATCTTTCCGCATTTTCTTATTTATTCTCATGCAAATCATGGATTCCTGCAACTAAAAGCTAATACAATGCATTGTGTAAGGTTATAATAATAGATTTAAATTTTTCTCCTAGAAACATTAGCACGCAACATGCCAGAGTGTGAGCAGAATAGCATAAGTTCATCAACAAAAACTGGTAAAGGTCAAAAAAAATAAGTTATAACTAAAGATATAAATGCAAATTACATGAAGAATATACCTTTGTACAAAGCTGTTAGAATTTCATACACACCAAATCGTGCTCCCAAACCTAAAACTCTCCCCAATGTCAACCATCCAAGGCCATTGTATAAACCTACAATGTTCATTTAAAAGAATATCCATTGTAACTGGCAATAATTAGGATTAAAATTGTGTTCAACTTTAGCTCACCTATGTCATCAAGAGATAGAAAATACAGGATAATAAAAATAAAACAAGTGCATGACTAAATTAATATAGGGAATAGCAATTGCCTTATAGCACAGAATCCCCTCATTTTGCATCTTTGTACATGCCAAAACAACTAATGCGATAAATACACACACACAACTGTTCTCTTTCTTTAAATGTAAGCCTACTCAATAAGCAAAAAATCCCTTTTATGCAGATAGTATAAAATAATGAATGATATTTTTGCTATATTAAGACTAAAAAAATTATCCCATCAGTTCTCATTATTCTTTCTTTTTTATTTAAAAAGCCTCGAGCATTGACTAGGGATGACCATCAAAATCCAATTTGCATGCCCTGGAAACAACATATTTCCAGATAATTTAGTAATTTTAAAGCGTTAACCACAACATTTGAAACCTCTGGGGATTATTAATAGAGTCTTTGCAAGTGAAAAATAACCCTTAGAAATGATTTTCTTTCTTTGGTTATCCCTGTTTCAAATTTTGAAAACCAAATATTGACTAACTAGAAGTTGAAGCTAAGGAAAACAAAAACATGAACTCATGCAAATAATTCTGGTTGTAATATTCGGAAAATCATTAAGGATCATCTAAGATGTAAGACATCAAACTTTGCTTTATGGAGGAAAGTGTGTCTGCATTATTAAAAGCATAGAATTGGGGTCTTTTATTAATTGTTTGATAGCAACATGCTCCAAAAGGCATAAATACCGAACAAGAATGGGTAATAGAGCGTTAATTACACTCAACCAACCTCATTTTCATATTGGAAACTTAAAAAGAAGTCATGAATTAATGGAGTTACCTGAATTTCCTGATAAAGATCGAACTCTAGCAAGAGCCTGAGCTGTAGTCAATTGTTTACCGGAACCTGACCCAACCTGTTCTACATTCCGCAATAGTGAGCACAATTTTTTTAAAAAACAAGTTATTTTAAGGTTGTGTATTCCCAGGTCAACATAAATTTCCCGTGAACACATGCAACTGTACACATAAAGAGAGGATAGTCGTCAAAATTTAAACCTGTACAAGGATTTTGATAGTGTCAAGAGGGTATGTGAGAGCAGTGCCTAATGCAACAGACCCTGCAGCAGCAATCGCATGGGTTGCAAAAATCTGGTTCTTCAACAGTTCATCCATCTGAAAATTATGCATGGAAATCAGGAAAAGTGGACCCTTAAGCTTATGGTGAGCACTCCTGATCAGATAATCTCCAACATGATATAAACATGCATGTTCTTGAAAAATTTCGGCTCTAAATGCCTTCTCAGTTAGTTACAAACACAAGTTGAAGAAATAGCAGGACTAATCAGTTTTTTAGGAGAGCAAAAATATGAAATTTTATCTGCACATATGACCACATGCAAAGGGATTTGGATTGCATCCCGTAGTGTGAATTTGAGATGGGAACTCAAAAAAAAGCAATACAGACATGAAAATTTCATGCTAATGATGTAGAATAACGATGGAGCTCATAGTAATAAAGGACTATGCAAAGCATGGGCAGACAGGAACTGGAAAATTTGGCTCCAAGAATAAGGTTTGAGAGATAAGTTGCCAACTACTTTAAGGAAACATGACAATACATTGGAAAAATACAGTCCTCAAAGGGCACTCCCTGGCTCACTAAGAAGTGCATTTTGCAATTCACATCAGGAAATGACACATCTGGAGGTCAGGTATGTCATGGGAGGGTTTGGATCTCATGAAGCCCAACTAGGCTGAGATCTACTAGGAGTCTAGGACACAGGGTCAGACTAAAAAATGGATAACTTTTGGGGGAGGTGAGTGTAATTGAATGGTCATTCTACAAATTAACCATGAAAAATTAATAATGAGGTAACACTAAATAAAGAATTGGATGGATGGAGAAGAACATGATATCCTAAGAATAGCGGTAAAACATTACAACCGCATTAATCACATCAAAGGACATTAAAAAGAATAAAACTGTCTAGTCGTACCAAATTGACAAGGAAACGTCATGAAGACCTCAAGTCGTTGCAATAAAAAATATGCTAATATAGTTCCCCTCATCCATAAGGAAGTCAGTCACCCGCCCTGTTTAAACCGATTTTGGAGGCCCGTTTATGGGATTTGGGCAGGGATCGGTTTTAGGGGGAACAACCCGTGCGGGTTCAGGGCGGGGATGGGGAAGGTTGCCCCAGCCCGTTTATAATGCTTATTTACTAAAATATCCTTTATCTATATATAAGAAATAGAAAGTTAGAAACCCTAAATGTCTTCAGTCTTCACTCTTCACATAATACCCTCAGCCGCTAGAGAGTAGAGACCCAATCACCCAAGACACTCACGACCACCATCACAGTCCGCTAGTGCTACAGCCTACGTCCAGTGCTCTCTTCTTCTTCTTCTTCTTCATCTTCATTACAGATGTGAAAATGTTTCTTATTTGACACATCTGTCATAGAAGACAGATCTGATGATACAAAGGGAGCAATTTATTGTTAATTAAACTTCCTTCTTTTTTTATTGTACTTGAATCATCTTGTGAAAAAATATATGCATTTAGTTGCAGACAATTTTCATTTTATATTAATTAGTGGGTTTCATTTTGTTGTTCAGGTACATATTGTCTAATAACTGAATTGACTCTTTGTAGCATTTGTGAGTTAGTTTCCACTTTTTTCATAAACTTCTCATTGTATATGCATGACAAACAGTTGTTTGTTAAAATGTCAAGCTGAAGATGTTTTCAGTTTTGCAGCCTTCTACACTATACAAATAAATGCTGGTATAAACTTTGGCCCGTTCATGAACTTAGTTTATGTAAGATGGTTAATTTGGTTACATAGTTTAAAAAAAATTCTGATGAAAATGCAAAACCCTAGCTCTTGTTTAATTTGTCTAGACCTGATTATCATGTATATACATCTAAAGTTGTGACACAGCAGAAGAATTCCTCAAATTTTTAGTTTAAACGGGGCGGGGTGGGTGCCCGGGGGTGGGGACAGGGTGGGAGGGGGTTTTGCTAAACGGTTTTGGGCGGGGAACTTAAATACCCCCGCCCAAACCCGCCCCCGTTTCCATCCCTACTCATCCATGATAAGGGTAATAGCCTAATAGTATAAGAACGATTAAACACATGGCTTGACTAGCAACTCAACTACTAGACAATATGATAAAATCCAAGAGCTGCAAAACCTGCCAATCTTGATAAGTAAAAGAAAGAATACACAAATACAAAATCTAAAAGCTTGGGTAACAATTCAATTCTGAAGGAGTGTGGAAGAGTAACCAAAAGAAGAATATATAGAAATGGATTTGCTTCAAAATTCATCCTGAATTATGGGGTATATGTAATAACAGGGACACAAAATCAGTGTGCAAGAAAAGCAACTCAAAGAAGAGTTAACTTGGAGTGAATGGGATGAACAGTATAAATAAGCATAAATATTCTTCAATTCAGCTAAAAATGTTCATGGCAGCAATTAGTGCGAAAAGCAACAGCCATCAAATGTGGGAAGGACAGCACCTTAATGCTGTCTTGGCTGGAGCAGTGACTGTGCAGGACTGAAAACATAGGGATAGCACCAGAGGAGGGTATAAGAAGTAAAGGTCAACAGGCATAGGTAGGAAAACTCTTAGTTCATATGACCAACTCAATGTAACCCAACAAAAATTTGAAGGCCTACTAAGCAATGAAATCAGACTTTTTTTTATTATTGATACTGATAACCATCAAAACCGTGACCCCATCCTTTCCTTTTGGATGCTACGGTCCCACATTGGCTTTGGCCAAGTTTGAAAGAGTTTCGATTTGTTATGGTTTATAAAGCCTAAAACTAGGCCTCAAAGGGTTAAAAATCAAGATTGATCGTGGGTAAATGAATAAAATAATGAAAATCTGATAGAGTTGAACCCCAAGGGGTTGACTCAAGTGGGTAAGTCATTTGGCCCTAGTGCCTCAAGAAGCATCAGGTCTAATGTTCGACTCCTATCGAGTACAAACAATTCCTTGGAGAGGGGTGTGTGAGTACCCAAAAAAAAATCTGATAGAGTTGTATCCACACACTCTCCTCCATCACTTCTTTCATTTTTCAAAATAAATGCAACATTTTTGGTGACCTACAAGTAGAAGCAAGGCCCATAGTGAACATATTTTACTTATTTGTCGCATATTTATATACCCAGATCATAAACTAAATTAATACTACTTATGGGAACCGGAAAAAAAAAAAAAAAAAAAGGCATCAACGCCAAAATATCCGTAAATACCATCACCAATGATGATTTGCTATCATCTCAATACTCAAGAACAATCACTTCCCACAATTGGTTTATTTTTTCCTCTAAAACAAAAGATCATTGAGGTAAAACCCTGTTTGAATTGGGTTTGCATAACTCATATAAAGTATAGGCGTTGAGAACTTTAATCAAACAGTTGGTGGGCATTTAGTCAATTACATAAATCACCCACATAACCACACACTAAAGTAACTTTAAATATGCTGAATCACACAAATACACAAACACGCGTAAAAATGAGCAAGAAATAAGAAGAAGTGCACATTTTTTAGGGAATTGATGCAATGAGTTTCACCTCAATATTTTCAGCAAAGAGGAAGTGAAATACTGCTTCTTGGAGCAGATTTTTGGTGAGGGGTGATGCAAAGTTCTTTCTAACTATCTCATTACTCTTCGTTTGATAATACTTCGCAACTGTCTTATATATACATATATATAGTTGGTGATTTGAGAGAGAAGTAGTGTGGAGTGGACTAGTGAGCGACTGAAACGGAGAAGAGAATATTGCCCTGTTCAGTTTTTAAAAATAAAAATTTATTTGAAACTTTTAATCAAATCAAGTTTTAAATATATATATATTTTAATTTTTAATTTTTAAAATTAAAAAAATTGAAACAAATAGTCTCTCAAAATATATTTTTTTGGGTCATAATAGTCTCTCAAATAGTGGTATTTCTTTACATATTATAGTGTGACTTTGATACTTAATGTCAATGGTAAATCAAAACATTTTTTTAATGCACAGTACTTTCAATTGCATAACGTGCCAAATATTTACTTTAAAATATAATATTACAATAAATTTATTCGAGAATTGTATTGTTTATATATATATATATATTAACTTATGGTACGAAAAATTGTGCCTAGATATGTACAAATATTCTTGGGTTTGTATACTTAGGTCAGTTAAGAATAGAAATGTCTTACCTATAATAATAATAATAATAAAATAAAATTCACTTGAAAAAATTACTTACTTATTTCAGCATTTAAATTGTAGATGGGATTGACGTAAGACAGATTTAGAACTCCTCGTATTTAGTAAAAAGAGAGAATTAAGTTGAAGTTTATGCTTTGAAAAATTGCTGGATTTTCTTATTTTATTTTTATTTTTATTTTTTTCACTAAAAAAGGTTGAAATATATTTCAAATGAAACCTGAAACAGAACTCACTAAATAAAAAGGACAAATTATTAAAATTTTCATGCAAATTAATCAAATAGAATTTGTACAGAAAACTTGGACCTCAAAAAACAAAGTAGATAACTAATAACTAGTTAGGGCTTGATTGGTCTGCATTTTATTTTAACTTGAAATAAAATAAATATTTTGTTGTAGAATGTTTTGAATAATAATTGGAGGAATGTTTGGTATTGCCCATTTGTTACAAAAATTTTGGAAACAAAAATATGATAATAAATTTAGTAAAAAAGTGTTGCAATTTTAAAAAATAAAATGATTAGTTTAAAATTTCTCATTTAAGGCTCTTTTTAAGCAGAAAAATGCCAAATTGTTTCAACTTTTGACCACTATTCACGAAATATTTCCACACTATGCAAAACAAAACAATTTTTACCAAATTGTCCACTATTCCCGGGTCCAAAACAAAACAGATTTTTACCCGATTGTTGTTTGACTGTTGGCTACCATTCAAGAAATGTTTTGGCATGGTGCAAAGCAAAACTGTTTTTGGTACAATTTTTACTAAACATGGTTTTTCCACTGCTAAAGTGGTCAGAAAAAAAAATAAAAAAAAATAAAAACGGATACCAAATAGACTTGGGATTAGTAACCAAAAATGCTTTGTCTTCATTTTTAAACAAAAACGTTTTCGCTGTTGCAAGATTAACATAACTTCATATACTTGTTAATTTAATTCTGAAACCTTTGGGCCACTAGACACGTGAGAGCACGAATTTATGTCTTTCATCTTTGATCTAACCCTCCTAAACGGAGATTTAGCTTCACTCTTCCAAAATAAACTAACAAATAGGCTGTCAATTACATTCATTTAGAGCACAAAACAAAATAGTGAAACTTGTCAATGTGCCCATTTAATAGATTATTCCCTTTTGAAATCAGCCACAAAACACCGATTAGATTCTTTTATGAGCATTCAGGTGAAATTTTAAAATACAGAAGCCACTACAGAAAATTAAAAACCCCCCTTTTTTCATACTCTCTAAGGAAAATAAATTAAATTATAGATACCTGAATACTACTAAATTACATCCCCTCCCTAGCTCTCTCCATCTCTCCACAAAGAAGAATGGTTAAACAGCTTAGAAGGGCGCGACTACGAGTCCCTGGCCCTGGTAGCACACACCCATTGCCTGGGGGTCTCAACGTCGTTACCTGTGACAGTGGGCACATGCCAACTACCTTGTTCTGATTCCTGCATTTTCAGTATCAAGCATTCATAAGCATTTGTGGGATCCAATGATTTGAGAAGGAACTAAAAAATGAAGTAGATGCTGATGTAGAGACTATTGGGCTGAAAATTTTACCTGAATAACAATTGAATATGGTGGAGGCATGTGGAGGGTGGGTCCACGCCTTGAGACTGTCAGTCGAACCTGCCAATCAATTACAGAACAGAGAAAAAACAATCAGCCAGTTTCTTTATGGACATTGAATGGCAATAGCATGGTTACCGCATTCATTGATCCAATTTGCTATAGTGTTTTTTTTTCCCTTTGTCATAAAAGGTTATGGAAAGAACATAAACCCGATGCTTCTGCAAAGGATGCATAATAGATTGCCCATGTAGAAGCTTGCAAGTGAAAATTTTTAAAGACTGCTTCCAATGATCATCTACTACTGGAAAAGTTGGGCAATCTCTTTGGTGCTAATGAACCGACTTACCAGTTACTATACAACTTGTTTTAATAAATCATTCTTTTAGTATTCTTGAAAAAAGCATGCACCAGCTACTTTAAAGAGAACAGACATGGTTTTTCATCCTTAAACTTGAAGGTTTAGGTCTGAGCAATGTACTCGTTAGGGATAAAGCTCGTGGTTGGAGATTCCCTAAAGAGCATGTAACTCATTGTAGTATGTGGTGATCAAATATAATGGTTAAGTATATAATGTTTCATGCCACGTATGTGACACTTTCTCATGAGATGGGATAGCCATTTCCCAGAAATGCCCCAATTCACTTCCTTGTTGGAGAGAAATAAAAAATCTCACACTGGGAAGAACGGTGATTGGGTGAACTTCCTTTCAAGAATCATTCCCTTGTTTCTTCTTTCTATATCTTTGGCAGCTCTCACAGCCATCTTTGTGGTCAAGTCTTCTCAAACAATTACTAGAAATACTAATCTTAAAAGAAATATCAATTATTGTAGACTAATGAGCTTACATCTATTCTCAACCTCTAAAAATGGGATCGTGTGTGTGTGTGTGTGTGTGTGTGTGTGTTGTGTGCATTTGTTTGTTACATACCAAAGAAAAACATGTGCCTCCACATATCTCTTCCCTGTGGCCAATATTATTTGAAAATTGAAAGCTCGCGTCAAAGTTAAGCCTTTGCCCAACATGTGTGCGCGCTTTGCAACTATAGTAGCAAAGTAGATCATCTATTCATCCACAGCCACACTTCTCACTGAATTTGCTTGGTGGCTGCTCTAGACATCTCCTAATTAATGGTCAATCCTTTGGGTGCTCTAATGTATTTCTCACAAGCTTGCCTTAATGTACTCCTTATATAGGGTCCCTGCTTCTGGTTAATAGACACTAATTTTGGTGCTGCTCTTTTTACAATCCAAGCTAACTTGGCATTTGAGACTAATGTATCACAACACCATGACAAGAAAGTGATTTTGATTTCACTCTGGGCCAGTTTGCAAGGTTTCCCCCAAAAAAGCTAGACCTTACTAGTTACTGGAACTTCTCTGGGACAGGACTAGTTGTGGTTTCATCATTGCATGGTAGAAGGAAAATCCTGTATGCTTAGCAAATAGGCAAGTGCTTGCAGTGTTGGGAGCTTGAAGATGTAGCAGGTATGTGAGGGGGATTTCAAATTTGATTACTTCTTAATTGCATGTGAATTAGATAGTGACAGTATCACGTCACTAATAGGTTTCAATCAAAGGCATATCCATGAAGAGTTTTTGTCATTACAATACTTATCAGGAAAAATAAAATAAAATAAAAATAAAAAATGTTTTTGTCATTGAAAAGGACTCTAAGAGAATGTGATATAGCTAACATTGCCTTAACTGTAGCAACAATGTTTAGCTTAAATTATAGTGTGATAGCTAAACTAAGAAGTTAAATTTTAATAAAGCAATGTTTCTGTACAATAGTCTGTATAAATTAACAAATCAAATTGTCAAAATAACAGCAGAACGATTAAATACCTGATGCTTTTCTTTCCATCTTGGGAAAAAACTAGTCCCTAGCAGTTCGAACAGGTGGTCCCTCATCTCATCGTTTGTCACCAGCAAACACTTGCAACTAACAGCTGCATATAACCAGTACCTGGTAATAATGTGAGAAAAATGATTAGACAAAAGTGAATTGTGGAGAACATATTCATGCAGCCCAAATTGGAGGATTATCAAGAATGAAATAATGATATAATCACAACAATTATTGATGAATCTTAGAATCAATTAGAAAAACTTGGAATTCTAATCATTTTACATAAACGCCACTTCTGCACTCCACCCCTATAATTTCACTTTTGAACATTGAACTTAATTTAACAAGGAGATGATCAACTAAGTCCTCAGCCTTCATGCAAAACAAACACACATCTCAGTAAAGCGGTCCAACTAATCAAGTGATCTCCTTCAATTACTTAAAACTTTATTGTGAATCTTCATCCGAAACAAAAAAGTAAGCTAGTTTACAAGAAATAAAGTTTCCCAACACAACCAGGGAAAATAATTTAGCAGAAATTCCATATAAGTTCATAGATCAGGCGTTTTCCCTCATATCAACCAGACATCAACTAACCCTCGCAGCTCACCCTGAAACTATAAGTGACCTCTAAATATACATTGAGACAAAGGCAAGAGAGAGGACCTAGGGAGAGAATTCTTAAAGACCTCAGAACCTCGGTCTCTAAATTCTTCAACAACCTTGACCTATATATCAGGACAAGGTCACTTATAACCTCTAGCTTTCCTAGACCTCATGGTCGCCTTAACCTCTAGCTTACTTCTAAATCACCTGACTTTATTATTCTTACTTAGAATTCGTGGAGTTTGTTGAGTGATAGTCACCTCTCTCTCACACAAATCAGTCATGACTTCCATCTAGCTCAGGCCACCTGAGATCACCACCATATCTCATGTAATTTCCATCTCTTGGTCATCAAACTGGACCACGACAGACGACTTGTATCCAAAACACAATCACAAAACTACTGGGATACATTTGTTAAGTAGACAGTGCTCTGTCCATACATTGTTGTACAATTTGCAATTCTTACCAATGTTCACAGACAACATGGCATGGCATTACTTTTTGAGTAATACTATTAATAGAGTCCCCTTGGGAAAAGAGCCATGAGCTCTCCATATTTAAGTTATTTAACCACTGGATTGGAAGATGTATTAAATGATTCACTTGACTTTCCACATATCTCAAAAAACTGTTTCAATCCAATGGTTAAATGTGGATAGCTCATGGCTCGTCATGAGGGAGTTTTCTTGATAGCATTATTCTTACGTTTTATTGGATAACGATCCCCACGTGGGTCCCACGCATATCTCCACTCAGGTGTCAAAAAGAAGGAAGTGCTATCATGAAGCACGGGATGTCTGAAATTAAACCATATTAAGGAGACACAGACACGTTCTTCTTGAAAAACACATAAACATATTTCTCAAAATTTCAGCAGTAACTCTATATGATTAGAAAAAAAATATGTCTGTATGAAATAGATAATAATATATCATAATGAAAACAATGGTTTGCAAAATCATGAACTGTGGGGGATGCATCTGCATCTCTCCAGATAGAAATAATAATAAAAAAAATAATTAATAAAAAAAATAAAATTTGTTTTCGAAACAGCCCCCCCCCCCCCCCCCCCCCCCCCCCCACACACACACACACACACACACAAAAAAAAAAAAAAAAACCTTCAGGAGCAGAGCTACATCGAGGGTGTTACTTTCAGCTGTTGAAAGGAAATAATATGAAGAATATAATAAGAAGAAGAATTCAAATTTTAAAGCAGTTAAGAATATATCTTAGCAAAATATAATATGTAAAGATCTTACCAATCATCATTCGAACCGCGTGGCGTAGCATAAAGTGCACCAGACTTTTTCCAACTCTCTATAAATTTCTTATTATTGTGACTCAGAGCAGGGCCATTAGTCACTCGATTTCTATGCAAAATAATAAGTGGTAGTCTCTTTGATGGACTAATTTGCGTTAACTGATTTACCACAAAATTAAGCTACAAAAAAAGAGGAACAGTCAAGAACTATATCCATACAAGTCTAACTTAACAAAACCAAAACATGCTTTATAAACCTCATCCTCAATATACTCTTTACCTGGGAAAAGCTAAAACTGTGTTGATCAGTAAGGCCCACATTCGCACCATCTATGACTGCATCAAATGGACCATGCCGCTGAAGCCACTCCTGAATGAGTGCACCTTCTAAGTTAGCCAAGATATCACTGAATCTTTTCATGTAATAAATGCCAGAAGCATAAACAAGTAGCACATTGACTACGACGATGAACACATTTTCAATTCACAACAATAAACAACATAAGAGTATGTTGATATGTTTCATATCACCACAACAATACATTTCAACAATAAGAACACTCTTGCTTATATGGCTAGGACATTATAATAAGCATTGATATATTCTTTCCGACCCAATTACATTCTAGAGTTACTTATATGATAGGAATCATAAGTTGCAATACAACAGTAACCTACATGAGTACTCCTGAGATCTATAAGACTAATAAAAAGCCACTTAGGCTTTGACCACCCAACTAGGCCAGTTTTCTTCGGGCACACACTGGTCACCTGTCTTCATAAACAATTGACTGAATTTCTCCCTTTCTCAAACTAATTTTCCGGATTTCTTCGGAGGGGATGAAAGAACCACTATGCGTTGAATGCATTATTTAATATTAAAAAACAAAATCTTTATTGGTCAGCTTTCTGCTATAACATTGATTTTTTAGGTTTTCTTCCTTTTTTTCTTTCTTAGTGAAAAATCTTGGTATATATCAGAAGAGCAGAAAATGAAACCCATGGAAAAAATAGAATAAAAGAGCCACCCAAAAACCCACCCATCAGCAATAAAAGAAGGGGGGGGGGGGGGGGGGGGGGGGAAAGGAAAGGGAAGAGAAAAAATATATATATACATAAAATTTACTACCAATTACTCTAAGAAAATTTTGAATTTCAAATGAGATGAAATCACTGATGCGGTGATACCACGTGAACCCATATTATGTAAGACACTCAAAGTTTGACATGACATTGCATATCTGCTGTGTAATATCCATGTTCATGTATGCACCTGCAAAACAAATTTTGATTCCTCTTAACAAATGAAGTTATATGCTCTTTGTTTTTTTACTTTTACTTATGTACCCAACTTGGTCCATATTGAGCGTAATGCTCGGGAAAGGAGAAGATCAGAACTTGTATTGGTTTCGTGAGTGAGGAATTATATGATAGCACGTGATTTGTCTGAGGTTTTGGCCTAAATAGAGTAGAATGACAAAAACAGAATTCACATAGATGACCGCAAATGTTGTGGAAAAGGGCTTATTGAGTTGAGTTGAGACCTGTACCCAACTTGGGAAGACGAGGGGAGATTCAGATGTTCATTGATTTTTGTTACAGTTGTTATGATAAATTGCTGCAACCATATATTTACATTACAGAACAATTTCAACATCATTATATCTGCATGCAGTATCAAAGACTTAAATCTATATGATATCCTAATGAGTTCTTTTTGGAACATGTTTACCAAAAAAATTCCCCTGGGAAAAAGAATGATAAAAACAGAATTCACATAGATGACCGCAAATGTTGTGGAAAAGGGCTTATTGAGTTGAGTTGAGACCTGTACCCAACTTGGAAGACGAGGGGAGATTCAGATGTTCATTGATTTTTGTTATAGTTGTTATGATAAATTGCTGCAACCATATATTTACATTACAGAACAATTTCAACATCATTATATCTGCATGTATTATCAAAGACTTAAATCTATATGATATCCTAATGAGTTCTTTTTGGAAAATGTTTACCAAAAAAATTCCCCTGGGAAAAAAATTCTTTGTTCTTTTTTCAAAAAAGAACATAAAGATTTAAAAAGTGTATATCATTGAAATGACAGAATTATTTAAGGTTACTTTTGGATCTATGGACTTGAGCCTGGTGGATATGAAATCCAAAGCCCAAATCCACATGTCATTTGGATTATTATTATTATTATTATTTATAAATAAAGCTGTATTAGAAAGCGTTCAAATGGGGAAAGCGGCCCACAAAAGCTACACAAGGCCAAAAAGGGCCCTAATAATCGTTCGGATTACTATTTGTCCCACGGATCCCAAATTCAGGAAGAATCCACACAACTATTTGGGGGCTCAAAAAATCAACTTCAACTAATATACCTCTACAACTCACAACACTCTCCTTCAACTATTTCACTGCACATCTTTCTCAATAATACAACACACTCTTTATCTCACACTTCCTCCTCTGCGCTTATTCAAATCCCTAACCCTAACTATTTCAATCCTAATTTCATTGGTGTGAGGATTTCATTTTAATTTATAAGTACATTTGTTGGAGAATTTCTACAATCATATGTTTTAGGATAAAATGCACAAAAAAAAAAAAAAAAAAAAAAAAAAAAAAAAAAAAAAAAAAAAAACCCTGAACTATTACCAAACCTGCAAAAAAAAATCCCTGAACTACAAAATTTGCAAAAAAAAAGCCCAGAACTATCCTTTTTTATTGCAAAATATGACCGTTAAATGAGACGTGACAGATAGTGTGAAATTGATTGACCATAATGCCCTTATGATTATGAAAATACTATAATGCCCCTTTTGTGATCATTGCACCCAACACTGTCTTTCCCTATATATAAATATATATAGATATCCACTGACTGACCCAAGACCAAAGAGCGATGATGCTCCATTTCATTTCAACAATGGAGGTTCAGTGGTAGATCCACCACTGGCGGGCAACCCATCCACATTTGCGGGATTGGGGCGTATCTCCATTTCAGATTCTTACGTTTTCACTTTGTGGATTTTGTATCTTTGTTCTCCAGAAAATAACACAAAGGAGAGAAATAGTAAGAAATAGCGCAAAGGAGAGATTGTATCTAATGTTCACCTCTAACCAACAAAACAACGCACCCTCCAAAAGCAAAGAATTTGACCCTAACACATAACAATTGATAAACTTTTGATAATTTACCTTCCAAGAAAAGACCCAATTGGAATTGAAAATCCTTACTTTGATCTCTTGCTTGGTCCGATCAGTTTTTGTGTTTTATCGACAATTCTTCAATGAGAAAACACAGAATCAAAATTTGCGGGATTGGGGCGAGGCAATGAATTGATTTTGCTCAGATGTGTTTGCTGTTTTGCTTTATGAGTGCTTCACTCAAATGTGGGGAAAGAGGCCCCAAACTAGCGGCCACCCTATTGCCATCCAGAATGGACCAGCCATATTATTGAACTCGCCTCAAATGGGTTCTTGCTTTTATTCCAATTTGATAGCTCATGGAAGTAGAGTGAGAAGTGTTACACAGATAGAGAGCGGGCAGTAAAGATTGGGTATCAGCCATTAGGGTTTGTGTTGTGGAAACGATGGGTGAGTTTGGGGGTAAAAGATCAGAAGAAAGAGAGACTTTCAGTTTTCGGCCATGCTTACTAGCATGGATCAGAAATCTGATAAATCCAAGAATCCTCCTCCTCAAGCTCTGCATCTGGTAATTGTAATTGTGGGTGACCAATATATATAACTATTCCTTACATTCTCTTCCTCAGCAGGTGCATAAAATTAAATGCCTTCTTCTCTACATCTGTTTCATACATACATAAGAACACCCATTTTCTCTCTCTCTACATATCTATACTATACGCACAACATATACATATATGTCAATCTCTATCACTACAAATCTATCTAACCCTCTAAGAAACGAGAAAAAAGAAGGGGCTCACCGGCTGGCTTCAAAGCAGGTGTAGAAGAAATCGAAAAAGAATGCCATCGTTGGAGGAACAATTATTTTCTTCAACGCCCAATAAAACTAAAATAGACAAACCACACGCACAAGGCATTGATCTCCCAACATCTGATGGAGATGATGATGATCTCAAGAAGAGAAAAAGAAGGCGGAGTCTTCGGCCGACCTAACCAGCAGCAAAGGTCAGAGATAGGCCATCTCATATCTAATGAAATTTTAGAGAGAGTTCTAGAGCTTCGTTATTGCACGAATGAGTATTGCTTGGTGTGTTTGATGCCAAAGAGGAGCTTTTTTTGCCAGATCAAGTGATAAGTGATAAGGTATCTTTGTTGTCCAATTATTTTCATTGGTGTGTGAGATAACACCTTTCCATGTCATCCACATAACTCAAACACTTCCAAAACTATTTCGTTTAAATTAGGGTAAATGTGTCTTTCGGTTTTTCCGACCAAGTAAGCCGCCGGAATGTCTTTAAATGAAACAAACCAATAGTTCAAGGGTTTTTTTGTAGTTCAGGGGGGTTTGTTGCAACAGGCCAAAAGTTCAGGTGTTATTTTATTTTACTTTTTGGCATTTTACCCTATGTTTATTGCGGTTCAAACAGGAAGTTTTGAATATTAATAATTTTTAACAAACAGACACAGGCGCACGCATATAGATATATATACATTATTCTTTGCATCTTTCATTTTGAATCTCTGATTCTATGTGTGTATTACTTTCTCTATATATGGTGAAACAAACACTTAGAATATATGTGTGCGAAGATGTAGATATATTTGTTTAGACTACAATAGTGAACTGCATTGCATTCTTTGTAGGATTTTGTTAGGGTATTCTATTCTTCCATGGGTTATGTTTATATGCTTTGGTTTTGCTTGGAAATACTGTGTTGTTTTGCTATGTTGAATTGACTCTTCTAGATTTTCGGGAAGAAAAAATATATATCTCACTTAATACAGGATGACTGAAAGAGTGTATGACTTCACCCTCTTCTAAGTCATGAAAACATATTTATGTCCCTTGGAACAAGAAAAACATAATTTTTAATATCTGTGAGATGATAATCATTCTCATAAATGGCTCCATTCAGCATAAAATGATGCATGTATCATTCAAATTCCAAGGGATGTCTAAACATGGCCTAAACATATCCAGCGGATCATTTGAAAAAGTACCAGAGAGATCTCTAGTCATGCAGTAGACAAATATTCACAAAGCTAAATGGAAATGAAATGCACAATTTCCACACAAGAATATATTGACAGTCAATTTCAAGATGTTAGGAAGTGACATGACAAAATGAGATTAAAATATTCTAAAGTTCTACATGGATATATTTGCATGATCTGAAAAATTGCAAAATGATCACATAAATAAGTGGATTCAGATAATGTCTTGCATAAATTACCAAAGAACGTAGTGAAAAAAACAAACCTGAAACTGCATAAAATTAGTTTTAACCTCTCTTTCGCAAGCCAAGCTTGCCAAAGAAGTGGCAAAATTTTCCGTCTCCTTAGGATCAATGTCAATGCAGACAAGCTTTTCACCACAAGAGTGACAGACCCCAGTTTGATCCATCTGAGTCTGCACCACCCTCCACTTCCCACTCCCTAGCCACCCTTGCCCATGCCACCCACCTCCTCCCTTCACAACCCCTTCCCTCACCTTCTCTACATCCCAATTCTCCACTCCGACCTCTGTACCACTTTCCGACCCGAACCAATCTTCCAAAACTCTGGCTGTCTCTTCAGAGACCTGCCTCACCATAGCCCGCAAACGGTGCAGCATTTCATACACTTTATCCGCCCTCTTTGTCTCCGAACTCACCTTCAAAAGAGCCGAAATCTCGGCCTCTTCCACCAAAACCCCAGATTCCCCCATGTGGGCATCAACCTCAAAAGCCTTGTCAACCATTCCCTTCTTGCAAAACCCAAACAATGCCGGCCCGTAGGACCTCAACCTCGGCGGAAGACCACAAGTCCTCATATGCTTCACCAAATCAAAAGCCGATTCTGGGTCTTCCTTAGCAGCAGCCAACCTCGCCAAACTCGTAAACGTGGCCTCATTCGGAGCAACTTTGTCAACACCCATTTGCTTGAAAATCTCAAAACCCCTTTCCAAACCCAAATCACAAACTCTCTTCGACCCTTCCTCGTTCTCTTCACAATCAACATTACTCGCAGAAGAAGAACACAGATAGAGCAACACATTGTAATGATGGAGCAAAATAGGAATTTGATTAACTCGAGCTTCGTCGTAGTGTTTAAGAGCTTCAACGAGGTCACCGCGCTTCGAGCACATGTCAAGCTTGTGCCGAAGCACTCCCTCGGGCGAATCACGGCGAAGTTTCTTCTTTGGTCTGGTGGAAGGTTGTGAAGAGGGTTCGCGAACGAGAGTCGCGGTAGTGTAGGGATGGGTTAATTTGTCCATTGATAAGCGATTTAGGTATTGAATTCGAGCATTAACGGGTTTGAAAGAAGAATAGTAACGAAGGAGTGGACGATGAAATCGATTACAGTAGCAGAGAGAGAGAATTGGGGATTTGATGAAGGAGAATAGACACCCAACACGCAAAAGCATCACTGCTTATATAATATGTGTGTGTTTGTGTGAGATTTCAACAAGGGATTATATGTATAATACAGCTGAGAGAAGAGAAGGGAAAGACATGGTGAAGACACCGACCCTCTCTTGTTGTGGGCAAAAAGGAAAAACCTAAAGACACCAGGAGGATCAATGCGTTTGGGAGACGGAAAAGCGTTGGAAGACGAGTAGGAAAGATAAGAAGGAAACAACTTTTATTTTTTTCCAAGCTAACTCACAAACTGGTTACACTCAAGAAAACCGAAAAAAAATTATAGATATATATGGTTCTAACACTAACTAGGGTTTTGAATTTTTGATAAATCTGTGAATTCAATTCGATCCACGCAATTTAAATTACTACTTTTTTCCGTAGTGTATTTATGAATAAGGTAAATTACACTTTGGGACAAATTAGAGCAGCTTCATTTGAGCCAAAAATAAAAAATTCGATTTTGAGCGAGCCCGATTCTCCAATGGGCTTGGCGAAATTTGCCCCAAATTTTTGAATCGTGGAATGGGTCGCCATTTCTAGTGACCATTTGGTGATCCTGTATGCGCGGGCCTACTTTCTTTTTGGGAAAATACCTATTAAGTCCTACTTTTTCGGCCCAAAGACAAATAAGTTCTACAAATTTTTCAAAAAAACAGAGAAGTCCTATTTTGCAAAATATTTCTAAATAGGTTCAGGTTCTGCAAATTGTGAAATTTGTTCCATTATTGCCCTTCCAACCCCAAACCCACCACCGTCTTCACCTACCTCGGCGGCGCGTCAATGGAGATGCACCAAGCCCTCACGCACTCCGACGCTGCTTTGAACACTTCAATCATGGTGATGCACAGCTCTGAACACTTCAATCGCGATAAGGTTCACCGGTATGAGTTGTGTAGCAGACGCTTGGAGCTCGTCGGTGTGAGCTTGATGTTGTCGAGGGGTCTCAAAATCAACAGCACCAGCGATGAAGAAGAATATCGAAACTGTTGGGTCTGAAGTTGGCTTGCCGAAGTTGATGGTTACCAAAGCACAGTGTGTCTCGTCGGAATTTGTTTGGCTGGTAAGTTCAGTTACAGCGCCCCAGACATTTTTGGAAAAGAACAATTTGCTTGTACATAAACTGAGATATAGGAGTTAAATTTAGTGACAGAAAAGAACATAGCAGAAAAAGATCTTTATCTATTTTACTGATCATTGACTTTTCTTAAGATAGAGAGACTTATTTATGCCGAGGCAATGTAGTGACCATTTCCTTTGCAAAGTTAGCTCCCTGTTTCTGGTTGTTCTAATAAGTCAAATCATTAGATATATCTCTTTTTGATAATGGCACCCTTTTTATGGTTTTCTTGTTGATGAAAAAATGGGAAATTGTAGTTCTTACCAACCAAATTCTTTCAGGGCTTAAGGCTGTTGTGGTGAGGTATTCTTCTAAATGGCCCTTTAGTGTTTGATGTTTCATCTTCTGTGAAGAAGCATTTGGTGCGGTATTCTTCTAAATGAACCTCCTGGTCGATGCTTGTCAAAATAGGACTTTGATTGCTTAGAAAAATTGCAGAGATGGAAGGCCAAGGGAGGATCTACGGCGGCGGGTGAGGACAATAGCCTCCTTCTGTGTACTCTTCCGAATGAAAAAGCTTGTTTTTAGGGTTACATACTATATATATACACACACACACATATATATATATATGCGACGGATCTAGGATCTTTCACTTTTGTATTAGTCACTGTAACTGAACTTACCAGCCAAACAAATTCCGGCAAGACACACTGAGCTTTGGCAACCATCAACTTCGACAAGCCAACTTCAGACCCAGCAGGTTCGATATTCTTCTTCATCACTGGTGCTGTTGATTTTGAAAACCCTCGACAACACCAACTCACACCGGTGAGCTCCAAGCGTCGGCTACACAGCTCATACCGGTGAGCCTCAAGCATCGAGAACTCCATCGCGATTAAAGTGTTCAGAGCTGTGCATCAGCATGATCGAAGTGTTCAAAGTGGCGTCAGAGTGCGTGATGGCCTGGTGCATCTCCATTGACGCGCCGCTAAGGTAGGTGAAGACGGTGGTGGTTTGGGGTTGGAAGGGCAATAATGGAACAAATTTCACAATTTGCAGAATCTAAACCTATTTGGAAATATTTTACAAAATAGGACTTCTCTAGCTTTTTGAAAAATTTGTAGAACTTATTTGTCTTTGGGTCTAAAAAGTAGGACTTAATAGGAATTTTTCCCCTTTTTTTTGGGCGCAATTCACTGTAACCCTCAGTCCAAAGGGTGTGTTTGGCTGAAAAATGTCTCATAAATCAATTTTTTGGTCTTTTTTTTTGGGAATATTTTGTGTGTTTTTTTTTTGGTTCCCCTCAACACAATTGAACTAAAGAGCCGTTAAGTCATTGTTTGGCTGACACAAACAATAGTTAAAGGGCTTTTTTTTGGAGAAAAAAGTTCAAAAACAAAGAAGAAGAAGAAGAAGAAGAGAGAAAATACATTTCTTATTATTTTAAAAAAAAATTCTTCACACCTATTAACATGGTAGCCATGCACTGTTTGCCTGACCAACAGTACCTTAACGGCTATATTGGCCCAAAAATTAATTTTTTCAATTTTTTCTAACAAAATTAAATTTAGTTTAAAAACATAATTTATTTTAATAAAAAAATTGCCTTTATTTTCACCTCCATAAATAAATACATTATATGAAAAATATAGCTGTTAATAAAAAGTTTAAAAAAAAAAAATTTTAAAAATTAATATTTTTTTAGAGTGAAAACGTGCTATTGGAGCACATGTTGAAGCACATGCGATAACTAAAGTTTGGAGAGTCCAAAATGCTGATGTGGCCATCGAAAAATACTGACGTGGAATTGTTGGATTGCCAAAAATTGGCAATGCCATTGAAGTTGCTCTCATGATTAGACTGAACTCGACCACATCCTAACTTTTTCTTTTGTTAACTGTTGACTAAATTTATCAAAATGATAATTTTGTATTTCTCTTATATAAAATACAATATGATACTCCGTATTAACAGGTTGAAGGGTTTAGGAGAGTCAAAGTAATAAACGTTTAATGTATTATCTGTGTAATTTGTCCAAATCTTAGACGTATAATTGACTTTTTATAAATAAAAATTCTAATGAATAGTTCACACATCCTCTAAAATATCTTTGATTGGACAAAACATAATAATCTTTATTGATTAGATCCATCTTATTTACCTTAATTGTTCTTCAAATTTTTTATTGTTATATAACTCGAAATATATATATAATTTTATTGTGTTTTATAAGTAAGAAATGCGGATAGATTATCTTACCATGCTCCTAGATTGAACAATAAACCCCCCCCCCCCCCCCCCAACACACACACACACAAAAAAAAAAATCAATCCGATGTCTTATAAAATTAAAATTAAGCCATTAAATCAGTTTGATTTCAAATTTTATGAATTCAATGTGATCAAATTGATTTTGTTTTTAATTTTATGTTTAATCCGAACCATGCGTACCCAATAATCTCTCAATCCTTTGAGGAGCATGGAACATCCAATGTAGCAAATGCCCATTAATTACTAAAAGGAAACAATATTGATAATGGAAAATGAGAATAATTATTATAGAAAATATAAACAAGAATGGTATTTATTTATTTATATTTATATTTTTTTTAGCCTACCAAGAAACACTTACACCAACTTTATATTTTTGTGTTTCAAATCATCTCATTTTTAGAATGGAAATTAACGAATTACCATTTCAAAGGTTCACCGAATTACCATTTCAATATTTTTCATTTCCCTTTGAAACCCTCCATCAAATAACAAAACTTTCTACTTTTTCTTTCAACCCTTTGGTACCAAAAGCATTTAACATTTACCCAACCTTTTATACAAAGGAGTTGGAAGGAAAAGAAATAAAATGAAAAATTGTGTATTTAGTTTTCTTTAACTTTTACACTTGCACAAGAGTGATGGTTTTGAAACCTACTATTTTGTACTAAATAATTGATCGTATTTTTCAACTCAAGCGTATTTACAACCCATTGTAAATCGGGCGCGAATCACCTGATGTTCCTAACCCAACAGTCCCCAACAGTTCAGTGATGAAAGGCCTTGGTTTGGCCACGTTTGATCCAGTTTATAATATGTATGTGGGCTCCACTAAGGACAATATTTGTCTACTCACTAGTGAGTATGTTTATTCTACTGACTGATTATGTATTCCAATAGTAGGTGGACACGTCAGCTTTAATGATTGGGTAGCCTGTATTCAAACCCTATGTATTTCTTTTCTCACCCTTTCACCCCCTTCCTAGATTCACGCCGTCCTCTCTCCACTATTCTTCTTCCTCTCACCTTTCATGGAACATCATCAATCAATAGAAATCTCTTGAGCTTCATATCACTCAATAGGTAAGGGTGGGCTGTAGGGTTACTTTTCCCGCATCTTCTCACGACTTCCTACTAAGAAGTTGAACTTTTGATCCTATTTGATCACTATTATCATAATCATATATGCTTTCTAGTACGAATTGTTTGTATATAGGCTATGTACTGTTGAATATGTATGTTTGGAGATCAAGAATGCAACTGATGTAACAGCAAACAGATCTTCTTAAGTTTCTGCTACAACCATGTTAGTAAAAAAAAATTGATTGATTAGTTTTCGAAAAGAGAAAAAAAATTCTGATTGATTTGTTTATTTACTGGGTGTGGAGGGAAAAAAACTCCCTCCAATAAAAAGCGCACACGTCACCACTACCCATATCTACATTCCAAGGACATATAAGGCCCATCATGCTCAAGCCCAAATTCAGGGTATTTACAGCCCAAGACCATTGTTATTTATCCTCCAACTTCCGTCAAGGCCGAATCAAGAAGTCATCAGCCCAGCTTGTCGTCAGCCCAGCGTATGAGTATTTAACATCCGGCCTGTTACCCAAGCCCAGCCGGATCAAAATATATTCAGCCCAAGAATGCACAAATCCTACCATTTGAAGGATTTACTGTAGAAGGAAAATTCGGATAGGAAGTTTTGTACAAGGCAATTTCTATGTATGGAAGATTCGACAATGGAAAGAACTATATTAGAAAAGAATGGTTATATAGAAAGAATTGGAGGGCAAGCAACGCGAGTCCTACCATAATTTTGCAATCTTTTGTATATAAATAGAGGCTAAGACCTCCAATAAAGGATCAAGCAATTTTACGCTTCTCTACACACTGTTCTTATTTATTTTTATTGTTTTTGAGTGAGTTGTTTTATTTTTCTCAATCATTATTGGTTGGGCGAAATTTTGCACCTACACTTTGGCGCCGTTTGTGGGAACCGTATAGAAATATACTCCCACTTGTTCTTCAAATTAAATCATTTAATCGTGTCTGGAATGTCAAACGGAGAGTCAGCAATGAATCAACAGATAGAATTGATGCAAAAGATGCGAGAAGAGTTCTTGCACCAATTTGAGACACTCCGGCAAGTAAACGATACGAGTGTCGCCCAGATAGCTGCACTTCAGCAGCAGACTCATACGCTGCACACGGCCATGGCCAGGCTAACGCCACAACCACCACCAGGCGATGCTACGGCACCACCCCCCACCCGGAATTTACCTCCGGTTCACGAGCCTCCAGCCAACGAGACACCACCCAACGGGGCTCGACCTAGTGAGGTTCAGCAAAAGCAAGGGATGAGGTCCGAGGCGGTTGCTTCGGATAATCTCCCGCATCGCACACAGGACGAACAGGCCGAGTCCAGCCATAGGCTTACGGTATGGTCCAATGGCGTTCCAGATGGCGCACGTGTACAAGATGCCTTCGACGAAAAGAAGCTCTTGAGAGTCCAGACACCAGCCGAGATGGCTAGAGAGCACAAGAACTCCTTGATCAAGACCCCATTTACTGACGAAGTGTACCTTGTGGAGAGGCCGAAGAAGTTCACTATGCCATCCTTCACCCAGTTCGATGGGGCAGGAAACCCCTCTCGGCATCTCGATCATTATGCGCAAAAGATGGCACTGGACGATCATAACGATCCGTGGATGTGTAAGGTTTTTCCTACCAGTTTAACTAGAGCAGCGTTAGAATGGTTCAGGAATAGGCCACACAAGTCTATCCCTGACTATGAGACCTTGTGCACTATGTTCTTAGCCCAGTATTGCGGAAATAAGAAGCAGAAGAAAAGTATCGCCAGCCTTTTCACCATAAGGCAAAGGAAGGGAGAAACTTTGCAAGATTTTTTATCCAGGTTTAACATGGAGGCCTCGGAGATAGCAGATTGCCATCCTGCCACGGCAATCGAAACGTTTAAGTTGGCAATGATCCAGGGAACCAAGTTTCACACATCCTTGGTCAAATATTCCCCCCCGGATATGCAGACTTTGAACGCTAGGGCACAAATCTACATCCGGTTGGAGGAAAACGTAGCCCACCGTGCACAGCACGCTACCCTCGTCACGGTGGAAAACAAGTCTCGAGAGAAAGCTGCGAGCACAAGGATGCAGAAGGTTCCTCATACCGCCACACAAGTCACCCAAGCGTTTGAGAAAAGGCGAAGGACAGAGGACAGGCTTACCCCTCTCCGTACTACCTTGGCGCGCCTATTCCAAGAGAATAAGACGAGGTTCGCGACTCCTCAGCCCATGAAGCAACCCTTGGAGCAGAGGGACAAAAGCAAACATTGTGCCTACCATAGAGATTATGGGCATACCACCAATGACTGCAGGTCCCTACAGCGACAAGTAGAAAGCATGATAGCGAGAGGAGAATTGGTGGAGTATCTCTCCACGAAAGAGCACGTAAAACCTCGGGAGGTTAACCCTCGACGGGTAGAGGGCGGTCAGGTAAAGGTTATCCATGCTATACACGGAAGGTCAGAGGATGATGAAGAGTCTGAAGAGTTGTACAGATCCAGGCTGAGAGAGGCTCATAAGTTACGAAGAGTGTCTTCGGTCAACACGGTTGCGCCAGGTAGCATCAACATTGGATTCGGTAACAATGATCTTTCTAGAGTCCAGCGCCCGCATGAGGACCCCTTGGTCATCAGCCTCCTGGTAGTGAATTACATGATCAGGAGAGTGCTGATAGATCCGGGAAGTAGCGCCAACATCATTACAAAAACAGCTTTTGATCAGTTGGGGGTTTCACCATCGTCCATCAGGCCAACTTCCAGCCCCCTAATGGGATTTGATGGTACTAAGGTGAATCCGCTCGGGGTGATCGATCTATCCGTTACTGCAGCAAAGAGGACTCTGAAGGAAAACTTCGTCGTAACAGAAATTCATCCATCTTATAACCTCATTATGGGGAGAGGTTGGATCCATCGTATGAACGG